CTCGGGGGAAAAAAAAAAAAAAAAAAGAAGATGGTTGAATCCAAGCAATTATGATCACCCAATGCGATCCTATGAAACTACGATACTAAAAGGTGTGAGCTGGGTATAGTGGCCCATGCCTTTAATCCTGGCTCTTGGGAGGTGTAGACGGGTGGATCTCTGTGAGTTCAAGGCCAACCTGGCCTACATAGAGAGTTCTAAGACAGTCACAGAGCTATATATAGAGACTCTGCCTCAAAAAAGAAACAACTGTGGGAGGGGCCATCTCACCCCCACATTTCCCCAGAGTACTCTTGAATAGAAGCAGCAGGAAATATTAGATAGAAGTTTAGAGGGAAGAGAAAAAGATAGAAAATACAAGATAGCCTCGGGAGGGCCTGGATCCTAATCCATCTGGCCTCAACTGTCTCTGCCCTAGGGTATTTACAGAATGCCAAGGGTGGAGCAAAAGACCTCCCCCCAGCACAGTCAAGTGCAGACCATCTCAGACACCTGCACTCGGGCTTGTGGTCCAGTCATCCTCTTTGTGCAGACCTGCTGGGTAAAGCCTAAATGGGCTCCAACAAACAATAACAATGGTGTGTGTGTTTGTGATTATCATTGGTAGAATTTGTTAGATTACATATATGACTCACACTAAGATATGCTGATCCTTAAGTCTGGAATATTCTTAGAAAAAAAAGTTTCTAAGTGATTCTCATCTACATCTCAGACAAGAATCACCAACAGTGTATTATTCAAACCTGTAGATTATTTGACATACAGTTCACCACCACCACCCCCAAGCCATGGAATGACTGAATTACATGTTGACTCTAGGCTTAATTTTTAACAGCTTCCATTTTAAGGACTGACCCTGTCACAAAACATTGACATAGTTCATCAGAGGCTTTGTATTAAAAATCACAGCAAGATTGGAGGAGGGTATGGAGAGGCGGCTCAGCCATAAGAGCACTTGCTAGTCTTGTAGAGGACTAAGAATTCAGTTCCCAGATCAGACTATTCACAATTGCCCATTGTGGTTGATATATTGTGCACCCCAATAAACTTATCTGGGGGTCAGAGAACAGAACAGCCACTATATTAAATATAGAGGTTAGACAGTGGTAGCACACACCTATCACTTAGCTGACAGGATCTCTGTGTGTTCAAGGCCACACTAAGAAACAGAGCCAAGAGTGGTGACACAAGCCTTTAATCCAAGTAACAACCATAGAGGGCTGGAGGTCTGTACAGACGAACAGAAAGTGACAGAGCTGTGTAGAAAGAGGAAGTGAGGTAGCTGGGCTAAGAGAGCCAATGAGAGGGCAGAACAGCAAAGCAATAAAGGCGTGGGTAGACAGGAAGTAACTCGCATTTGGAAGCTGCCGAGTTGGTGAGGTTAGCTGTGGCTCTCCCTGTTTCCCTCATCTTTCTCTAAGGCTTTCACCCCTATGTTTAGCTCTGTGTTTTTTATTTAATAAGACGATTTAGAAATTCATCTACAGCCCACCCACCAGGGATCTTACACCCTCTTCTAACCTCTACAGGCAGCTGCATTCAGGGACACAGACACACACACAATAATATAAACCTTAAAATTGTCAGACAGATAAAGAGATAACTGTTATTCTTATTGGAGGATGAAAAAGCAAAGTGGATGGTGTTTGAAAAGCAGCAGTAGGAAGTTTAGGGCATCGGGGAGTTACGTGTGCCAGCCAGGCTGTTGACTATAAACTATAATCACTAGAAATTGGAAGATAGAGGACATCAATAGTTCCAGCTACCCCAGCTCTGGGTCAGGAGTATCACCTGAGTCTAGAGTTCAGGGCCAGAATTGGCAATAGAGA